GAAGAGAGGCAAGATGATTATGCGATAGATAGGAATTGGGACAGAGGCCTCGAATTAATTTATAAAGCCCGAAGAACTAACTACTAAATAAGTTCATATATACCTCTCTGTATCACTACTTGAACAGAGGAAAAGTTAGGGGCTGCTGCCCTGCAGATGTGGGAATTAAAATGACTCTACTCGGACCCAAAAAAGGTCGGAGGGTCTTAGGCAACTATTCCAGTTTAATCCATTTAATTATTGCATATGATAGAACCCTAGCCGCCTCCTTCCAAAAGAAATACATTGCATCTAATAAAATCTGTAACAGTCCAAGAAACAGGAACACAAACTTTTTATCCATCTAAAAATCACTATTTCTTTTTTCAAAAATTGGATGACCAGTGAGAATTGAATCTTCGACTTCCTCGTAATAATCATCCCAATTCTAATCCCTTAGCTCCATCACCAAAAATCACTGCAAAGTTGGACGGAGTATTAGGATGAAGTACATTTGACTTGTATACTAGTACAAAGCAAGGTTTTTTGGTGTTTATATCGGAACAAATTCTCCAGGGCCAAAATGGACTTTGCCCACGTATTTGTATAAAGGGGTGTCATTTTAATTCTACATAACAAATTAATAATATGAAATATATTTAGATTTGAATGTAATGACTCTTCTTAGGTTAATCAATTACCCATTGGTTAACATATCATCTGTGTACGCAAAGGTTTAGCCCATCCTTATCAGCCGACAACCACGTTGCAATCCTTCACATGTAAAAAGGAGATTTTGGAATGGTCCTAATGCCTAACACCTCACATGTTCAAGAAAATGTGAAGAATTTCAACACAAAAGAGGAAGAAATATGAAGGAAAATTTCTCATTCCTCAAAGAAAAAAAGAAAAAGAAAAAAGAAACTCATGCTTTCACCTTCTCAGATTTACATTCTTTTTTATTTTATTTGGGGTGACGTTTCATTCAAGACAAACATATATACTCAATTGAATATTAAATATTGGAATACAAATATTACTGATCAGTTTTGAATAAACAACACAACCGGGATTAACTCCGGGTTATTCACGGAAGCCATCACGGAGAGCTGGAGGTACTCCTTGTCCCGGAATAATATATTACTTTGGCTTTGGAAAACTGTTTAACATGACCTTTATTTCAAGGTTGACAAAAACAAATTCACGATTATTATACATAAAATAGAAAATGTGTGAGAACAAACCCTTAATCGGAAATTGTCCAGGTCATGTCATTCTGGAAGATCCAGTGGCAAACCTCAATCTTACCCGGACCCGAACCCAGAGCTAAGAAGGCTCCATGAGTTTGACTCCAAGTTGATGTGTCGATGTGACATATGGCAACTCCATGATTAATCTTGGTCTTGGATTTCGGATCAAGTATATCCGCTTCGTAAACCCGGACTTTGGGAACAGAATGGCAGTAATACAGCAAGTACGGGTACAAACTCTGATGACAAGACACTGATTTCGTCACCTGCCCGCCGTTGATCCCGGTCACCGTCCCAATCATGATGTCTTTACCTGATCCTTGAGTGTTTTCAGTACTCCTGACGACAACGTTTTTGCCCAGAACAGAGGTTGCAAAGTCAACCATGTCTTCTGCACTGCCGACGCACCGCTTGGTTTCCCCCGGGCTGGGAGCTCTCTCGCATTCACTCAGCGCATTTCCCATCATCCGGGTCATGCTGGAATCATCAGCAGAATGGAATATTTTCTTCAATTCACCAATCTTGGCACTGGAAAATGGTATTTTTGAGAGAATTGATCTGGGCAGGAATGACCTTTTAGGCATCTTATCCTTGATGTCAGGCATTGGCATCACGGTCCCTGTTTTCAGCATCTTTTCCCTGAAGAATTTCCCGGGCTCCACCCACCGGCTCTTCATCTTCTTATTGGTGGTGGTGCTGGTCGCCATGGCAGCCAAAGGGCTATCAGTTCCGTTACGATAATCGGAGAAAGTGACCCCTGTTTTGGCATAGTCTTTGAATGTATTGTTGACTCCGTATGTTTTGAAATCTACAGTCGGCGCACCCGTTGAGTCCTTTGCATACCCTTTGAATGTGTCGCTCCCTTCATTAAATGACTGACCATAATTAGTGAAACCCAGAGTCTGCGCGTTGGAGCCTTGTGCATAGGATTGGAAGCTGTCGTCTCCTACGTTGGACTGATCCCGGTAATTGGCGAAAGTCTGGGTGATCCCGTTGCCGCCAGTACCGTAACTCTGGAAATTGTTTGTCGGGACGTTGCCGTCGGAGCCGTAACTGGTGAATGTCTGGGTCTCACCATTCCCACCACGGGCGTAAGTCTTGAATGTATTTGTTGGGACGTTTCCGTTAGCCCCGTACGAGGTGAAGTTGTCGGATTCTCCATTGCCGGTTTCGCCGTAGTTGTTGAAATTGGAAGTCTGGACATTGCTTTCATTTGAGTAGCTGGTAAATTTATTCTCTGCTCCGTTGCCGTTTTTGCCGTAGCTGGTAAAGGTTGCTTCGTTTCCATTTGCATCCTGTGCATAGGTTGTGAAATCTTGGGTGCGGCCATTGGTGCTGTCAGAATAGGAAGTGAATGTAAGGCCAGGAACATTGGCGTCGTTGTTGTAGTTGCTGAATTTTCCGGTTCCGCCGGTGGTTCCTGTGCCGTACGTGTTGAACCTTTGGTCAACAACATTAGCGTCAAGGGCGTAGCTGGTGAACTTATCGTCGTGGCCGATTGAATTTCGGCTGTAGCGGCGGAAAGTGTCGACGGCGATGTTGTTGTCGTTGCTGTAGTTCTTGAAAGTATCAACTCCGGCTTGACGGTCGGTGCCGTAATTTGTGAAGTTTTGGAGTTGGTACTCGGCGAAATTCACATCTTTGCTGTGCTTTTCAAGGCTTGTTCCCACGTCAGGAAAGCAAAAGAGATTTGCTTGTTTGCAAAAAGTGGGGAGTTGGGTAGGCAGTGAGTTTTGATCGGCGAGTTTGGAAAATGTGGCCAATTGCACGGCGTCTAATGGCGAGGCTTTGTCGAGGAAAAATGGCTTTGGCAGGTTAGTGGAGACTTGTTTTTTCCAGTAACGGACGAATGAAGCCTTGGCTGTGAATGGGCTCTCTCCGGCTACCTTCCGGCCAGTTTCTGTCCCCCCTGCCGCTAAGACCACCTGCGATTGTGCATGTACGACCACATACGTTAGTATGAATTTTTGAGTAGCTTATGCGAGTTTTCATAAAATTTGAGAAGGTATAGCTTCGACTGTTCGCAGGATGTTGAACAGCAAATCACACATAATTCACTCATTGAACACAATTTTTTTAAAAAATAAAGACATTGAAGAAAAAATGACTATATATGAGTTACTGCCGAAAAGTGAAATTTCAATTTGATCAACATATATCTGCCGTTACAGAGTGCTCTGTTTTGTCTATAGATTCATAAAAGTTCTTAAGAAAGATTAGAGTTGTAAGAAGGATCAACTCTGCTTCTTGTATATATACTTACACTGAAGGATGAATAAATGGCGAAGAAGAGGACAAGGCGGAGGAGCAGGAGCGGAGGCGCGGGGAATTTGATCATGGTTTCAGGGAAGGAGAGGAATGAGAATGAGTAGAGGTTGGATGGAAATGAAATGAAGCCACAGCTTTATAATTAAATTTTTGTGGTACAGGCTAAATTCAGCACTAAGGTTTAGATGGGGATTTCTGAGATTCCACATGAGATAATATTTATCTCGTTTGTGTATAATTGTCCAAATGATTTTTTTTTATTCGTTTATTTTTAAAACGTTCACTTTGTTATAAGATTATTTAAAACAAAAGTCATTTTCAAAAAGTGACACAAAAGTGAATTACAGAATGTGCAATGATGATTATTCCGATACTGTTGCATTCAAAAAAGAAAGGAATGCTTTTGTTGATTTACAGAATTAAGAAGTAAGAACGGGAAAGGAAAAATGACGAGCCAAGTTTTGAGGTAAAATTTGAATGGAAGTGGCGCTAAAGTTTCTTCTTTTCCTGGGTGGGGAAGAGAGTCTGAAAGGCACATTCAACAACAAATGTGACGTTCTTTTTAATGGCGTGAGTTGATTCTGAAATTTTATGTGATCCTCAATTTATCATCAGTCATTAGTCACATTGTTACTCTTACTCTTGCCATCAGATTTTTGCTCTTTCATCTTGAATATCGCCGGACTCTTGGTGATAAAAAATAATCTATTCAACAACATGGTTCTAATTTATTTATGTATCTGATTTAAGTTAGCAGCTGGAAATCAAAGGTTCAATTGGAGGAGTACAACACTTTTCAGATTATAAGGGGTGTTTTCACTTAGTCGTGATTTAAACTTTATTTAACTTTACATTCATATCAAAATCGTAATCTATCTATCTTCTATAAAATTCATTTTAGAATTACCACAAAGGACAAAATTTTATGTGTAATTTTCTAATGCACCTCTAAAAAAATATCTTAGTGAAATTATGAAAGGTCCTCACATTTTAAAAAGTAACGAACGAACTCCATCCCTTCGTTCTCGCTGGTTTTTTGATTACTATATAACCACTTTGGTAATCGAAATGCATTGGCCTAAATCCAAAATTTGATACACGAAATTTATTGGCCTAGATCCATAATATACATAATGTATGATACTATGTGCATATGCATGGGATGCAGAATTATGTTCATTATAACCAGACAGCGTGTTCTTTTGCCTTTTTCCATGACTTCAACTTTTATGTACTCTATACTCATATCAAACTCATAGCTAGCATATATTAATCAAGATTCAACATTAAACACATCAAAACTTTCAAAATTTATTTGTGAAATTTTAGCGGTACTATATAATTACATGTTAGTTCATGATAAATTTGAATTGGTGTTCCTTCCCTTCTTGATGATTTCAGTTTTTATCTCTCTCTGTATTTTTTTTTTTATCCATATCATAATTAGCAAGTCTTGATCAAGGCTGAACATTAAAATCATCAAAATATTGAAAATTTATTCATGAAATTTATTCAAGTGGCACAACACATGTAATCAACTGTAGTAATATTTTTTCTAATATGTACCAATATGTAACATTGACTAATATGCTTGCTAACTGTAGACAACCTATCATGTAAGGTTGTTAGCCAACAAAAGTTAAGATGATCAACCCATGCATCCATGGTCAACCGTACTTAGAATCTCTACTTACATTGAAAATACAAACTGGTTCTTGTTTAACGAATGCAAAGATGATCATGGCATGTAACAAAACAAACACTGTCGTATTATAAAGACACGAACCGAGTTAACTTTCACTTTCGTACCCGGTTAATCCATCAAATCCTTCATGGAGAGGAACCACAACTTTACAGTAATTTGAGAGGGCAAAAATAAGAAGAGGAAATTGCAAGACAAAAATCTCAATCAGAAGTTGTCCAGGTCATATCATTCTCATAGATCCAGTGGCAAACTTCAATTTTACCCGGACCCGAACCCAAAGCTAGGAAGGCTCCATGAGTCTGACTCCAACTCGACGTATCAACGTGACAGATGGCTACTCCATGATTAAGCTTGGCCTTGGAATTTGGGTCAAGTATATCCGCTTCGTAAACCCGAACTTTAGGAACAGAGTGGCAGTAATACACTAAGTACGGGTACAAACTCTGATGGCAAGACACCGATTTGGTCACCTGCCCGCCGTTGATCCCTGTCACAGTCCCAATCATGATATCTTTACCTGATCCTTGGGTGTTCTCAGTGCTCCTAACAACGACGTTTCGGCCCAGAACAGAGGTTGCAAAGTCAACCATGTCCTCTGCACTGCCGACACACCGCTTGGTTTCCCCCGGGCTGGGAGCTCTCTCGCATTCACTCAATGTATTAGTCATCATCCGGGTCATGCTAGAATCATCAGCAGCATGGAATATCTTCTTCAATTCATCAATCTTGGAGGTGGAAAACGGTAATTTCGAGAGAATTCTTCTTGGCAGGAATGATCTTTTAGGCATTTTATCCCTGATGTCAGGCATTGGCATCACCGTCCCAGTCTGCAACATCTTTTCCCTGAAGAATTTACCTGGCTCCACCCACCGGCTGTTCATCTTCTTGGCGGCGCTGGTAGCCATGGCAGCCAATGGGCTATCAGTTCCGTTTCGATAATCGGAGAATGTGACCCCGGTTTTGGCATAGTCTTTGAAAGTATTATTGACTCCATATGTTTTGAAATCTACAGTTGTTTCACCGGTTGAGTCCTTTGCATACCCTTTGAATGTGTCACTCCCTTCGTTGAATGATTGACCGTAATTAGTGAAACCCAGAGCCTGCGAATTTGACCCCTGTGCATAGGATTGGAAGCTGTCGTCTCCGACGTTGGATTGATCACGGTAATTGGCGAAATTCTGAGTAATTCCATTGCCTCCAGAACCGTAACTTGTGAAATTGTTCGTCGGCACATTGCCGTTAGATCCGTAACTGGTGAATGTTTGGGTCTCACCATTCCCATCACGAGCGTAAGTCTTGAATGTATTTGTTGGGACGTTTCCGTTCGCGGCGTAGGAAGTGAAATTGTCGGATTCTCCGTTGCCGGTTTCGCCGTAATTGCTGAAACTGGAAGTCATGACGTTGGATTGGTTACCGTAGCTGGTGAATTCGTTTGTGGCCGCGTTCCCGTTTTTACCGTAGCTGGTAAAAGTTTGGTCTCCCACATTGGCATTCTGTGAGTATGTTTTGAAATCTTGAGTTCTGCCGTTGGTGCTGTCGGAATAGGAAGTGAATGTGAGACCCGGGATGTTGGTGTCATCGTTATAATTGCTGAACTTTCCGGTTCCGCCGGTGGCTTTTGTGCCGTATGTGTTGAAGGTCTGGTCAACGACATTGGAGTCGAGAGCATAATTGGTGAACATATCGTCGTGGCCGACCGAATCGCGGCTGTACCGGCGGAAGGTGTCAACGGGCAGGTTGTCGTCGTTGGTGTAGTTCTTGAAAGAGTCAACGCCGCCGAGACGGTTGGTGCCGTAATTGGTGAAGTTCTGGAGGTTATACTCGGCGAAATTCACATCTTGGCTGTGTTTTTCGAGACTCGTTCCCACATCGGGGAAGCAAAAGAGATCTGCTTGTTTGCAAAAAGTAGGGAGTCGGATGGACAATGAGTTTTGATCGGCGAGTTTGGAGAATGTGGCCAATTGAACGGCGTCTAATGGGGAGGCTTTGTCGAGGAAAAAGGATTTTGGCAGGTTCGTGGAAACCTGTTTTTTCCAGTAACGAATGAATGAAGCCTTGGCTGTGAATGGGCTCTCTTCCGCTAACTTCCGGCCAATTTCTTTGCTTCCTAAGCTCACCTGTGATCGTGAATTTGATTACTCATTTCAGTATTTTTTACTTCTACATTTTGTTATGGTAATTGAATCATAAAATTCAAATGTCAGGTATCTATATTAACTAGCAATGAGATCAAAATCAATAAATTTAAGGAGCAAAACTAGCATTTTACCTAGTGCTCTGTTTACTGTATTACCCTGTACTCTGTATATGAACTACAAACTAAGAAGTTGTACGAAGCAGGAAAGGGATTTAAAAGAAAACATTGCGATTGGCAACATGTTAATTTTTTTTCAGCGGAAATACTTACATTGAAGGATGAAGCAACGGTGAAGAGGAGGACGAGGAGGAGGAGCGGCGGCGGCGGGGTGGCGACTTTCAGCATGATTTTCCCCATGGATAGTAAATGGCGACAGGGAGGAGTGAGGAACTGATTATGGGTTTAGCATGGATTATAATGAGTTGGAGCTACAATTTTATAATTAAAATTTGGAGGATACAGACTGACTGAGAAAAGCAATAATGTTTAGTTGGGTAATTTGCTGACTTATGAGTTCTCCGATAGAATATTAGTGATTTATTTCCGTCTCAGCGGTCAGCATTGATCTAATATTATATTGGTTCTACAGCTATACAATCTCAAAATTATTGTCTAATTTGATTTATATTTTTAATTTATTTTATACTAAAATTAGGATTTAAACCGGACAATCATTTCGAGACGAAATGAGTAATAAGCAACAAATTTGTCAATAGAAAGTTATCTTAATAACTACTTGTATGATTTGGTTATTAGAGAAGATTGTAACTCGCATCAAAGAAGCCAAAAGAAAAAAAAAAGGAAGGTTTAGTTCAAACAAGGAGTACATCATAGCCTTCCCGAATTCGTTGAATTCAACATATAAATTTCTTGTGCATGAGAAAGTGCTATGGGATTGAAATCCTAGTGACAGGTAACTCTGAAGAAGCCGCGTAAACTAGGGATTGACATTGAACTACAAAGGTTGACGCGTTTCTTAAAATTGCGTGAATTGATTCTGAAACTTTATGTGATCCACAATCATCAGTCTCACTGTTACTATTACGCTTGCCATCCATTTTTGCACTTATTCTCGGAATTTATAGAAATAGAATGAATGTATAGATAGACCAGGTGTTGCCATATGTTGGAATGTTGTTGTACATTTAGGCCAGTGACAAAATCCCGTGACAATCCCCCCAATCTGATCATATTTAGCTCGTGATATAACCCGAATTCCTTTCTCCGCATGGAGTTGTGTATCGTTTATTTTCCGATACTTCTTGTTAAGAATAAATATTTTGTGCAACTGTTGTAATCAAGAAATTATCAAGACAACAATTTGGATGTATAATTATATGTTTAAAAATTCATCAACGACAATTATTATGTTATCAATCATTCTGACATTCCCCTCCACCACAAGAAAAATAGTTAACAGAATTGAACCCACCGAATTTGCAAATTTTCGGAACAAGATTAACTCGAATAACAACTGCTTGGGTAATAGATTTCCACTACAAAATAAGAGGGTCCACTATAATTCAAACTTATTGTCTGCCTTTTTAAAAATTTATCCGTGACTAGCGAGGATAAAACACACGTATGAAATATCCATGTAGAAGCTTCAATGACGATAATAATGATATATTATAGTCTATAGTGTATATATAGTTGAGGATTAGACGTTTCATTTAACGAATTACTTTCTGCTGTTTGTCATCAATATTTTGATAAAACAAGCTCTCTTTTTTTTATATATTTGTATTGTCTAATTTTACACGGGAAAAAAAACAAAAGCCACATAGACAATCTGATTGTGACTTTGATTTAGTATTCAATGACCGACATATATTATTTCACTAAGAAACGAGGCTTACAAACAGCACTTAATTAAATGCCTCGCAATTTACAGAAGAAGGCAAATAAACCTAAATGTCACAAAAGGAAAAGCCATAAAAGCTTTCCTCATAGTTATGTCTTGTTTGTTGCTTATTTGTAAGGGAACTTGTTTGTTTGTTTGTTATTTTCCTCTGATGTTCATTTTAACAGTTATTTATTGAACTAACATAGTCTAAAAAATAAAGCATTCAAATTAAATGGTGGAACTACGAAATAATGTCCAATTGAACAACACAAGACAATAGCTATTTCTTATGTAAATAAATTGTGTATGATTTTTACCATTTTAATTGTTCGTCTCTATATCTTGCTTCAATTCATTTGTTGAGGTATAAACAATGAATATCTATTAATTTAGGGTACACGAAAGCCACGGGCTGTTTCTCTCTCGTCAACGACACTGAATTCAAAAGAAAAAAAAAGGTTGGAAACTTGGAATGGAGAAAGCATTTTGTATGATTTTTTATTCATTACCAATCCTGCTAATGATTAAACAATTAAATTAAAATAAAACTATCTCTGTACCAAAAAAAATCTATATTGATTTTTTAAATTTGTATTGAAAAAGGTAATATTCCCTCCGTCCCGAAATTATTGTCCAGTTTGGAATTTTACTTTTAGTACTAATTATACTAAAAATAAAAATCTAAAATAAACAATATTTTAGGACAGAGTGAAGACTATTCATTAATATTTTCAACTAGTCTCAAAAACGAAGATTACACTGAGTTTTTTTTCACACAAACTTCTGTACCTGAAAAAAACAAAATAAAAATAACATACACAATACGTGTATTTATTGTTCAATCATGCACTTCAATAATTTGGGAAATTAATAGGAATAGTAGCATATTCTCCTAATTTGTCGATTTTATGGTGTACAAGTAACAATAATAGGTAAATAATAGTACTAGTAGTAATATTAAATATCTGTTGATTATTCGTCTACAACATCCAAATAATCAATGGCATATATTATTGACGTGATTTGGGCCCAATGATTAGTACTCCACAGAAATAATGAGATCATCATGCAAATTGCAAAATGCAAAATGCAAAGCAGACGAGAGGTCATTATCCTCTGATTTGTCACTGATTAATTGACATTATCCGTATCAAGAAACACCAGTAAATTCTTAAAGCTTCTCAAAATAGAAAACTGATTAATTGTGATACGTGGCTATATTTAATCAAACAATCAGAAATTCAGAATTATGTAGTCCTTCCAATTCGCCCAAAGTCACAATCATCGAATGCAACCCCAAACGTGCATCCAAATTCTATTCACCATTTTCCGCAAGCAAAATATTTTGAAGAAATTTCGCTGAATGCGATTGATTTGTAATTAACTAATTATGTCGCCCTAGTTTTTCCTTTTACTCATCTGATTTGATTGTCGGCCTTCGTACTATAAGGCCCCGTAACAGATGTAACATAAATAAGACTGTGATTGAGAACATTAAATGTTAGTTTATCTTTTTAAAGATTAAATTGAAACCTAATTAAATTAGTGTGAAATGATTGATAACATTACGTGCTGGACTTAGCATATAAACAAAAAGATATGAAAGATCATCTAAATCCATCTACGAAATATTTTATTGTATTTGTCATTGAACAGTCCAATGCATAAAGTAAATAATATGATAATAATACTTCAGCGTTTTGTTTTAATTCATAAATTATTCATAATGATTATTAACCCCAATTTGTCAGCTATATAATAGTGAAGAAACTGGTCAATTACAAGTAGCGGTCCTTCTTCATCGCCTCTAATTTTGTGTTGGATTCCCAAATAATTGGATAGGAAATATCTCTTACCAAACACGTAATTGACTTTGAGCTATGAATAATTGAGTTACAGCCTTATATCAATAATTATTAATGGTTGCATTCGATATTTAGACGTATGCAATAATTCTTTCTTTATGTAAATATAATGAGCACATAATTGGAAAAAAACTTCCTAGGTTCTACCTAGTACTTCCATTATGTATTTCCTAGTTTAGTAAAAAATCAAAGCCAGCGACGCTTTCAGTTTCTTCAAAGCTTATCTAGTTGTACACACTTGTAATTATATTCTGATTTCTCGTAAAAATAAAAATTAATTTCATTCATCTACCATGCACATTTTTTGTTCATATGGTAGGCTACAAGTGCCCATTTCTCCAAGAAGACTAGGGCAGCCAAGATCAAGAAGGGGGAAAGAAAAAAAAAAAAGAAAAAAGAAAAAAACCTCGGCTACCCTGATCTAAAAAGTTGCATGGCATGTACGTAGTTACAGATTGTTTTGAATTTCAAATCGAGGTGCCAATTTTATAAACTACTACAGTAATAACAAGCAAGGTATGTAGTATATCAAAAAATTTAACGCGTGGATTAGAATTTTTGAAATTTTGAGCTCCAAATCTTGGAGTGAAGTTTGCCAACGAAGTTTGTAATTAAACAGAATTGAAAGCACCTTCTCTACCGGAATGACAATCAAATTTACTATCGAAATTGTGGACCGGGGTTTCGTACCCTATACTGAAGTTTTACGAGCATGAAATGCTACAAAAATGGTGCCCACAAAACAAAATAATCTACCTTTTGAAGCGATTCCACTTGTGGAGAGTCCTCACAAAAACAAAGTTTGATTTTTCACTTCTGCCAATGTCTTTGGTTACTTGGGGCAAGAGTTTTACATGACTGACGAGTAGTTTTCAATCGTACAAAATTAACCCAAGTAATTTTGTTGAAGAAATCGGTCGAAAGTCGAAACCCTAACTTTGCCAAAAAGTCAACAAAGGAACCCTGAGACTCAGACCGTAAATATGGTCCCGATCGATGCAGACGCGTTCTTTATGATCGTCAGTATCTTAATGGTACATAGTGACACTATTCATTGGTTCTTGAAGCATTGAAGTTCTTCTGTGTGCCCCCATTTTTCCATCAATTATTTAGGGCTTGTTTGGATGGCCTCCCATTTTGCCTTTTGGTATAATTTTTTATTTGAGTTTGAGATGTTATTTAAAATGTGTTTTAAAACAAAATTTAAAAAATTGTTTAGATAAATTTTTAATTAAAATAATAATTTTTTTTTACCACCACCTACCTCCGCCGTCGGACCACTGTCGGAATCTGGCCGGTCGGTCGCTGGCAGGCGACGGTTCAGCGGCGGCAGGGGGCGGGCGGCGGCGGTGGTGGTGGATGAAAATTGTGTAAAAATAATTTTTGAAATATTTTTTAAAAAGTAAGTTAAAATGTCATTTGGATAGTGTATTGGATTTTGTATTTAAGAGGTATGTTTGTTTCGTTTCTTTAGCGTGTGTTTTTAGGTGTTTTTTGTATTAAGAATGTAAAAAAATATATTGGAAATATAAAAAGGTATATTGAGATAGAACAATTATTAATATTTTAATTTAAAAAAACCATCCAGAAAATGAAACGAACAAAGCCTTAGCTTCCGGGCACTCAATACCTTATTGCTAGGGCTGCTAATTCGGTCGGTTCAATCGGTTCGGGTTAATCGGGTTTTTTTACTTCCAAAACCCGACCGAAGCTTATTAACCCCCGAACCGAACCAAACCGAATAAGCAATCGGTTTATTCGGTCGGGGATCGGTTAACCCGAAATAGGCCAATCAGGCCATTTACAAGATTTTCACTTTTCAACAGGGGAATGCAAATCAGTGAAATCACTGATCACATTATCACAGTAACACAAAATACAGAAATAGACCAAGTTTTAAACCTAAATTTTTGACATTTCGACATTTCGAGTTTCGACTTAAAGTTTCAAACTTCAAAGTCCACACTCCATAGCAATAAGCCAATAACACTTAACAACAATACAGCAGGACAGAAATGATTCAGAAGGCAGAAGCCACAAACAAGAATTACAGAAGATTTACAGAAATGATCTCCAAAAGGACCCAAACTGAGTTCATGAGCCATTAGGCATTAACTAGTTACAGAAAAAGCAGCTTAAGTTCAAAACAGAAGAGCAGTTCAACTAACAACTTCATTAGTTCATTGTTCAGTCTTCAACGTTTCAACGCTTCAATTGGCACTTGGCAGCATTGCAGGCT